AAAACCCCAAAACACCCCGCTGTCTCAAAATCTGCAAATATCAGTACTTGGAGTGGTATTTGAGTGGTCTGTTCCATGGCAGTTCTAAAGAGGATTAATGGTATGATAAAACTGTTTTCTGAAAGAAATTTGACCTAACTTTCTTCACAGAGCAGCAACAGCCCATTTCTCTTTCGATGGTAATTCAGATGCTGAATAAAATTCTATACACAGAAATAAAGTAGTGTGTCATTCTAACTGGCCATTGCGTGTTACTTCGAGTCGACTCTTCTAATCATCATTTGCCTTGCTGTGCTTTGTCTTCATTTTTGTGCTAATGTCTGAGGACTGTTTTCACAATGTATGAATATGTGGACTACAATAGTTGAACAGGCTAAAATCCTGGCTTACTAGTTTCAATATTTTGTACAGAAGACAACCACATGATCTTCTAATTTTGGGTTCAGATGACTGAAGACATATTGTGCAATTCATAGTAAAGTAGGCAGCTCGTTTAAAAAAAACAACCCAACAACAAACCACAAACAAAAAAACAGGGAATTGTATTTGTGATGCGGAGAATGAATGTTTCATTGCCATGTTTTTATAATCAGTTAAAAAAATTTTACTTGCACATTATATTTTTGCTTCTTAAGCTCTCCAACCAAAAAAGCCTGTCATATCTGCCTGAAACACAACATCAAAAAGGGCCTTACTGCATACCTACACGCAAAACTTACTTGTATTGCTCACTTAGGATTAACAGAATAAATACATTACTTTTATAAAGATATGAATAGAAGTTTAATTTCATTTCATGGTGTTAAAATTGCATTACTACCTCGAAGCTGAAATGTTGCAAGGACGTAAATTTATTTTTTTTGGCTTTGCAGAAAGAATAATGTAAAAACCTGTGGTTTACATATGAAAAACAGTACTCTGATATATATCAATTAAACAGAACTTCTGGGTTTTTCTTAATACAGTGTGAACACAAATGTCAACACTTAAAAGTTTGGGGTTTGTTTTGTTGTTGCCTTTTTTTTTTAATAGAACTTCTGGCTTCTACACAGTTCTACTTAAAGCAACAGCAATTACTGGTGTGGTTTGGTTTTTTGTTTTTTGTTTTTTTTAATTTTATGTATGAAAGGAATTGCTTTCATGCCACATCTGAACAAGCTGGTTTTCCAATGGCTTTTTTAAATGTACAGGTACCTTATTAGAAAAATTCTATGTGTTTCTGGCAGTGGCGGTCTGCAATTGGTAGTTTTTTCCAATATGGATTTAAATCAGATTGTCAGTACCACTATATTTCTTGTGTACAAAGCAGACATATGTGCATGCAGTTGGAAAATTATATACACAAAAGAAATCCATTTTAATTAAAACTTACCTTCCAGACTGTTGCTCAGCAAAATAGTAAATAGCTGTTAAGGGCTTTTTGTGGTGGCTCGGGAGTGACATGATCACGCGACATGAGAAGCAATGGCCTTGTATAAAGTTCTGGTTCGCTGAGAACATAAGGACCTTCTGAAGGTATCAGAAAGCAGAATAAAAGCAAACATCAAACGTATTTCTTTTAACACATTTCTCTGTACATCTTAGTGTTAGATTCAATTGTAGTACGTACTTATTTCATCAAGCGAGATGGGTACCTAAAATTCATATATCTGCGAGAGGCTTTGTCTGGTAAGGAATTCATGATGGAGATTATAGCTTAAATTTAGACGAAATTGTAATAAGTGGAGAATATCTTCTGGGATAGGAGAAGAGTTGTACAGTGTGCATCTCAGACTCCCCATCAGGCTTAAGAAGATTATAATCTAGCCTTGCTTGTTCATTTTTCTTTCTTTCAAGTCGAAATCTTTTATCAACGTTGCCAAAATACCTGTTTGATCTTCCACTTAAAGTTCTGGTTGTCAGTAATAATAAGCTCGTCTCCATTCCAGAAGAAATCGGAAAGTTGAGAGACCTAATGGAGTTGGTAAGTACAGTTGTGAACAGTTTTACTAAGTAAACTTAAAACTATAAGCAGTTTATTTACAGTATAAGAAAAATATAAATAATTTTTTAAATATAGAACTTCAAAATGTAAATTCAGTTGCTGCTTTTCTTAGTGTCTGAGCTCAAATTACAGGTGTAGTATATTGTAGAGTTTCAAAAATGGGTTTAAACACAAATCAGTATGTTGGATTAACTAAAGCTTAAGGTGTTCACAAATAAAATTGCTCCCAAGATTATTTCATTTGAGTCCCTCACTTGTATGTTGTTAAAAATGGTAAATTTTTCTGTTTACATTACTTATGGCAATCATAATTCTGTTTCTTTTTCTTATATGTAATCAAGAATCTTTTCAGCTGAAGAGTTCATCTCTTTTTTCTCTGTACTCTTCAAGTTACGCCATTCAATCATTGTTGTCTTGTTCTGTGGTGGTGGGTGGGTTTTTTCTTGGTGGTTGTTCCCCTTCCCCATTTTTGCTATGCTGGTTATTTTGGCTGGGCTGAACAGAACGATGTGTGATATTCACCATTTATGTGTCTGTGCAACATCATTTTATCCTATGGCATACTAAAGTTTTGTGCTTTGTCATCCATTACTTTATATTTGTTAATATTCTGGACTTTTCTGATCATTACTCCATGTTAAGCTCCTATTTTGGAGAACTATGCACAATTATTCACCAACCTGGCCCTTGGATTAAGTCTGATTCCTCCCCCCCCTTTTCTTTGGTCTTTGCAAGCAAGCAGTCCTTACCCTGTTTCTACAGTAGCTGTGTATGCCCTGGAGATTTCTTTTAACATGTCCTAATTTCTGAGCTATAAATCAACATTCTTTTTTAATTTACAAGTAATATGAGGTATTCTGAATGTTTGTGAGGCTTTTCTAATGTCCTCTATTCTTTGGTGAGAATTTCTTTATGCTCACTTTAATGTCATAGGATTTCAAGGTAGGATTACTGCTACTGTTTATAGGAAGTGAATGTTTTTCAGAATTGCAGTTGTGGGGTTTTGGGCTTATTTTTCAAAATTGTCAAACCTAGAACGTGTGCTTGATGACACAGATTAAGTACAGTTTCATTCCAGTATCTGTGTTATACCGGTTTAGAACATAAATAATATTTATTATTCTTAAAAAAGTTGATAACTAAGCTACGTGCTAGAAAGATGCTTCTAGGAAGGGAATCCCATCTTGAATTTGGTGATGTGGACAGAGAAGAACTTGCAGTAGATACACAACAGTTGATCCCAAGCAGCTTGTACTTTCTGAGACGTACAGCTATGTGCAGACATTGTGGTTGTCAAAAGTAGTTGAGCGGTGCCTAAGCTGAAGATCTGGAAGTGTGCAGTGGAGAAGGAGGCTGGATTCATCTGGGTAGGACCTGGCTTCTGGTTACTGACTCAGCTTGCTTTTATAATCAGCTTCCAGTTTTTCATCAGATAGGTGTCTGCCATTGTTATCTAGTCTGGGAAACTAGTCTCTGAAGTCAGTTTTGTTGAATCAGGAATAAAAAAGGTTAGAAATGGTCTTTTATCAGTGTGATTGTTGACTCAGTCTGAACTACACAAATAAATGTTAAATTAGTGGCAGAAATAGCTGGAGTTTGTATTCACTTGGTGCAGCTTTGTCACCCTCTAGCGCGTGTACCCAAAAAGTTGGTGAGCCTGCTATTGCACTTTGTAAATTTTTAGTTGCATGGATTGGCTCAAGGTTTTTTGAGGAAGACGAACTTTTATAAAAGGAGCAGAAATGCAAATCATTTGCCAGCAGTAGCATAGTTTTTAACTGAAACAGGAACTACACCAGGAACTCCTGATTCCTAGGGAACAGTTTTAATGTCGAAACCAGTCTTTTGTCATTCTTTGGTCTAACGTTTTGAATTGAGTTTCTGAAACATCAGTCGCTAAGAACTGAAGAAACTAAGATTATGGTGGTACTTCCCTTCGAGGAAAAACCAAGAAAGATAGGATTTCTTTTTTTTTTCTTTTTAATAGGATGCTTTATAGTAGTTTTGATAGCAGTTTTTCTTTGTTTAATTTGAGATGTTAAGTTAATGTACTAATTATATCTTTCTTAGGATATTAGTTGCAATGAACTTCAGGTTCTTCCGCAGCAGATAGGAAAATTGCAGTCACTTAGAGAATTAAACATAAGAAGAAATAATCTCCATATGTTGCCAGATGGTAAGCTATTACTCTTCATTTCTTTGTTGTAGGTAAATTAGGTAAAGTGTTAAGAAGATGTCTGATTTTTGTTTGTTTGTTTCCTCCAATGCAGAGTTAGGAGACCTTCCCTTGGTAAAGCTGGATTTTTCTTGTAATAAAATTACAGAAATCCCGATTTGTTACAGAAAGTTACGTCACTTACAAGTTATAGTTTTGGATAACAATCCAATGCAGATACCACCAGCACAGGTCAGTATTAAAGCATTAAATTAAAGATCTTGAGAAAGCGAAAGCTGTTATAATTTACACCAATCAGTTTTAATTTTTTGTAGCTGTATTTCTCCTAGTGGGAACTTCCAGGTACAAACACATTGTAGAAAGTATTTATTAGGGTGCATTTTCAAAAGGCACGTTGTATAACTAAGATTTTTTTTGTTTGTTTCCCAACAGATATGTTTAAAGGGTAAAGTACATATATTTAAATTCCTCAGCATTCAGGCATGCCTCAGAATAGATAAAAAACCGGATTCTTTGGATCTTCCATCATTAGGTAAACGAATCCCCTCCCAGCCACTCACAGACAGGTGAGTAGTGGAGTTATTGTTTTATTTTACTTTAGCATTTGCTATGAAGTGATCTGTTCATTACAGATAATAGCTGTAATTTCAATACTTTAATTGTTCTTTATTTAGGAGTTGTAGTATTTATTTTCTAAGGTTGTGTTACTGGAAGCTTAATTGGCTCATCTGCATTGCTATGAAAAATTTTCCTTGTACTTGCTAAAGATTTGGAAATCAGAACAAAGATGTATTTTAAGTTTATTTATTGGAAAACTCAGCTATTTATTTCACAAACAAATATGTCAAAACAGTAGATGAGAAGCTCCCATAAATGTCTTGAATATAGAGTTAGTATGTTGGATGGGAAGTCTGTGTCCCATGTATATATTAAGGGAAACAAACATCAGTGAAATACCATAGATTTTTTTTTATTAGATTAATCAAGGTCAAAAAGTGCGGAATATTTTGTTGGTCTCTGTACTGACTACCCTTGAATAATTAAATGGGCATGCTTTTGTATTTTCTGTCATCAGTTGGCTTGCCATTGGAAACCATACGGAACAATACTCTCTTTTTGTCTGTTTTCTTAAAATGTCACGTGCAACTTCTGCCTCTCTGTGTTCAAGGCTGAAAGGAAGATGAAAGTTACAAATAAAGCTTACACAGAACCATCTGGACCATCGGATTCAGTGCGTGGTCTTAGGCAACTTAGTCCACAGTGTCTGGAGATCACTTCTAAATGCTCCTAAAAACTGCAGTCCATAACTGCTCTCCAAAAGCCTCCACTGAACTTAAGGCCTACAACTAAAATGTATTGCAAAGGAACAAGAGGGCATTACCATTGTACCTCATATTTGTAGCAGTGAGAACTTGTTTAACAAAATTTTGCAGATAATCGTAAGATGTAAACCAAGCTCCAGTGCACAGTTGCAAAACACATCCTGCTGATGCTGCTAATTTTATGTCTTTGAAAGACATAAATTTGGAGGAAATATTTCATAGATATTCAGACAGACTTAAACCATTATAATATGCAGTCTGTTCGGGAATATATGTTTGCTACTGGTAGAAACCCATGTCTGCCAAGAGAATTCAAGGAATTGCAGTTTTTCAGAGGAAGCCTTCTTTTCCAGAGGTGGTACTTTTGAATGAAATAGACCAATTCTAAATTTGCATAGATACAGAGTGAGTACCATAATTCATAGTTCCACTTTAACATTTCTTTGATACTTTTTTCTTGAACATCTCCTGTAGTAGATGAAGAATTTGTTCTCTGCACACAGGGCATTGTGCAAAAATTCTGTATTGGCAGCTGTAGATGAGTATAGAGAATGTATTTTTAGAAGAAACTACTGTTTCTTTCATTCCTGTGTGGTTTTTTGTGTATTTTTTTTTTCCTTGACGTAGCATGGAGGACTTTTATCCCAATAAAAATCATGGACCAGACTCTGGCATCGGAAGTGATAATGGGGATAAAAGGTTGTCCACAACAGAAGTGAGTATTTTTTGCTGTTGAATTTGTGTAACTTCTGGTTTTTAGAATTTATTTTCCTTTGTATTTTGTGTCATTTGAGGAATGACACTGAACTAAGTTGCGTTTAACATTCTTTGAATAGCTGGACAGTTGAGTTGAAACCATTAGACTGCAGTATCAGACAGAAATTATTTACATATTGCTTTGACTTTTCTGGTTAAGGTTCATTCCAGTCCAAATTTCATACATTTTAAAACTGAATTCTGACCTAAGAAATTGTTTGGATATTTTAGTGTGTGAAGTGCATAATCATTTTCTAAACAAAAGACAAAATGGATTTGAAACTTTCTTTTGGTATCAATGAAATTAATATACTTAAGAAAATTAAAGTTTATTTGGACTAAATTTGAGTGTTATATATGTTAGTAATCCTCACTCTTTAAATTTTAATAAACTTCTGGGTAATCGGCTAGGTTTAAAGTGATGAACAAAAATCCCTACAAGTTATCTGTGTATTTGTAGAAATCTAGATTGAGGAGCTGTAACTAATAACAGTAATGTCAAAACCGAATAGTATAGAACAAAAGATTTTTGAAACCTAGGAAGAGACCTGTTAAAAAGGCAGAGTGATTGTTAGTGGAAAAACTGTAGAATGAGGAGTATTACTAGTTGGTGTTTTTTTAAGAAAATTCCAACTGATTAGAAGTTGTAATGATTTTTTTTTTTTTTTCCCTCAGTGGCCTAAACAAGGGTCAAAGTAGTCGGAGGCTTTTAGATAAGAAAGTACCTAAGTACAGTTTTCTTAGTCCGCTCCCCAGGGCTAGACTGGACATCTCTGAACAAAATACTGTATTTCAGTATTGCCTACTGAGCAGTTGTCTGTCACTCCCTAAACAATGAATGTCTTAAACCTCCTTCCCATACTCCCTCCCACCCCACCAAAAAAACCCAAACAAACAAAAAAACCCAACCAAAACCACCACCCACAAAAAACTCCACGTGATGATGTTGTTTTCTCTGTCCTGGGAGCCATCTCTCATGATAGGGTCAGTTGCAGTATAGTTTTTGAGTTCTTACCAAATCATATAATAATGTAATATATGTGTAAGTTCTGTATTAAATGTGACTGTCTTTGCAGCCATCTGATGATGATACAATCAGCCTTCACTCCCAGGTATCAGAATCAACTAGGGAACAGACATTAAGAAATGACAATCATGTAATGGGAAGTAAACTCGATCCACAGAAAGGTAAGATCTGTTGTGTATCTGTCATTTTAGGTAACAAATACTTTTGCTTAAGTAATCTAGTATAAGAAAGCTGAACAAAATGGTATGATCACATGTTGGCATTGTGTTTTCATCATTTCAGAAAACAGTGTAATAATCACAAATAGACAAGGCCAGAAAGAAAGAAAAAAGATTATTTCTGGCTCAAGGAGACATAATTTCATTGTTTTATCTTTATCTGACATTTTTCGTAGTACTTATCTCTCTCAGGAATAATATTTGGTTGGGAGAACTGTTTAATATCATCTTTTCCATTCTTCATCAATCCTCACTAGACCAGGAGGTGTATGATTACATTGATCCAAATGCAGAAGAAGGAGCCGTTCCTGAGCAAGATGTACAGATTGGACCATTGCTGTCTTATATTAAGGTAGCATAACTTGAGAAAAGAAAAACTGTTCATCAGGCTTGCTTTTTTTTTTTAATTCAAGTCTAAATGTATTTTTCATTCTGTGTAAGGAACGGGGAAAACATCCTGAGAAATGCCAGAAAATAGAACAGAATGAGGACTGGGGAGAGGAAAAAAGGTAAATTTTCGTGATTTTTTTTTTTTTTTTAGGGGGGAAGGTTTTACTGAGGGGGGATTATGGTGGTTTTGTTTTAAGTTCCTTGCATATGGAGGAAAGAAATCTCGTATTGAACACATAGGCTGTTCCTTCTTGGACAGAAAGTGAGATTATAAGAAGTGCTTCTTAGTTATTGTCCAGTAATGTAGCCATTTCTGTGTCTTGCTTTACTGAAGTCAGGCAAGTCACTAATGTTTAATTTTTCAGACTTCAGAAAGAACAGCTACTGACTGAAGACGATGATGAACTCAAAGAAGTGACTGACTTGAGAAAAATAGCAGCTCAGTTACTGCAGCAAGAACAAAAACACAGGTACTACAACACTAGTAAAGATAACGTGTGTTACAATTAATTTATTCTTTAACGTCTTATACCCCAAAGCTCTTGACACCTTATAATATTGAGAACAGTTCTGTCCAGCTGTTAAACAGTTAATGTGACAGATTCTTTTAAGATACTTGTCCTGTGTTTCTCTTCATAAAGTTGCTGTCTAGAGAAGCAGTGATATACCTCCTATGGAGAGGAAGAGGTGAATGTGAAAGTGTCTTGATTTCCTGGTTTGATGTATGTTAACTTTTTATACTTTATTTTTCCAAAGTGGTATACTTAAGTAGGCATGGTAAATGCTTATCTAAGTAGACAATTGGTAACATCTTAAAATGACTTTGTCTTAGTTTGTATGAATTACAGAACCTGCATATGGTTTGTTTGTGACTGGTTATTTTTATTCGAATACAAAGTAAATTAGATGGTACTTCCTCCGTTCAGTCTGATGCGAGATATAAATTTCCTGTGTATTGAAGGGGAAATCTGTTCAAACGTTATTCTATCAAATGACAGAGCATATATATATATTTTAAATACATATCAAAACAAATAATTTGAATAGTGCAAGTTCATCCCAATGAACTGCGTGACTTTCTCTACTTCATGTTGGGTATCAGAACAGAAGGATTCTTGAAAAGGAGCTGTAGAACCAGCAGCAGATGAAAGGAATGTAACAGAACAAATTAACAACTGTGTAAAAGGAAGAGCATGAAGGAATACCTGGAGTTGCATAAGATGTGGACAGGCTAGGGTAGGAACCGTGTTCTCTCTGGTTCCTTTACCAAGCAGGCAAATAACCAGTGAGGTACTTTGAGAGTAATCTCTTTCCTTAAAGGTAAAAGTTGTAGTTAATAGTAGTTAATTAACTAAAATGGTTCATTACAGTCATCTGTTATCCTGCAGTAATGGATTTAACATCATACCAGCTTAAATACTATTTTTGTGTCTTTTGAATTCCTGTATAATGATGAGATTCTGCAGTGCTGTTTTTCTTTTGAGATAGTTAAAATTTAGAGGAAGCCCTTAGAGAAATTAGTATCTTGATACTATGAATTGCAGAGCTTTAAAAATTCACTAGTGTGTTGTATTAGCTAAATATAATAGCAGTGGTGTGTGTGCGGGGAAAAGATAAATAAGTTTTACTTGTAACTCCATGCAGTGTATTTCATAATTGGTTCACATTGGGAAGGGAAGAGTAAGAATGAAATCTTAACAGTAATACATTATTATTGCCAAAAGTATTGCCAGAAAGACTAGGAATGTGAAATTTTCTCTTACTAATTTATTAATAAAGAGAGAATAAGTGTGTTTGTCTTATATTAGGTTTTTATATGATGGTTATTTATATTGCATGTGGGTCTTGTTTGATTAGTTTTAATATTACCTGTTCATCTAATAATTTGAAATACCAAGCCACTCCTCTTCTGAAGTACTGCAATTTAAGTTTTACTAGTCAGATGTTGTATCTTAATGCAGTGATCTTGCTAATAATTCTGCTTTGCTCTTGAATTGTTGAGACATATGCAGTCTTATTAGTTGTTAAGTTTTACTTCTCAGTTTAGCATTTCCATTTTAAAGCTTGCTTATGTATCTTTAAGTACGAGGGCAAAATCACCTCTGATATATAAAATTTAGCCCTGATTTTGAATCCATAGTTTTGTGAATTTATAATTTCTTGCCATAAACAGCAATAAGAATAATATTTAGAAGATTAGTGAAAATATTTATGTATTTATTTGTGGAAAACATGTCCAATCTGAGTAAACAGAATCCTCAGAAAAGTAAGCATCATAAAATAATTTCTTACTAATCATATTTCTGTTCAGTGTTCTTTTTTTGTTTGTTTTAAATATTATGCAGTCTCTTTTCTTTTTGCTTGCTATGCTAATGACTTCACTGTCCTCTCCCATCAACCTGTTCTGCTTCCTTCTTCCGTCTTTGGCTTTGGTGTACATGAAATATGAATACAGACGAAGGCCATTAAGCTATAGAACTTCATTCAGTGAAAAACTCTTCCAGAGGACAAGGGCGGCAGGACGTGCATCAAGGTATAAATTGCATGTAGAGCTTCAGATTTCCAAAGTTAAACTGTGGACAAAAGAAATAGTTTTGGCCATTTCTTGAACAAATCAGAATAAATGGATTGGCTAAGTTAGCCTAAGATATTTTGTTACCAAAAATAGATTGCAATGCATTTATTGTTCTTTAAGGTAAATTCTACTTAAGGAAAATATTTAATTAGGCAACTCTCCAAAGAACATATAAATGAGTCCAAACCTATAAGCATAATTTCCTGTACCTTTGGTGTGCTTTCTCTTCAATTTTTCGAATATATAGAACATCAGGCAAAAGGTTTTTTTAATTTTATTTAAGATATGTTGGTTTTAAAGTGATCACTTTCAAATTAGCATGACCAGTGACAATTTGTTTTGCATTTGACAACCATGAGGGAAGCATTTGCAGATACAGAAACCTCACAGGTAACAAGAAGTCTGGAGTGGGCTGTGTAGACTCTACTCAGACATGTAAATGATGAATCAAGTGACTTACCCTGGATATTCCTGGTCCGTTTCAAAAGCAAGTAGGATAGCTTAGATTCAGTAATCTTCATTAGTGCCAAATGAGTCTGTTCCAGTTTGCATCAAAGTATAGTATGGGTTCTTACCTGACAGCAGTGACTTCCCAAAACTGTCTAAATCCCTAAGAGCATATGGTCACAAAGCAGAGACATATGTGAAGACAGTAGACTGCTCCTGAATCAGTTTAAAATCCATCATTTTTTTTGTCTCACTGTAAAAGATTTCTTGTATCTTTATACATGCTATAGGTCCTAGGGAGTGCTTGATTGTTTAATCTTGAAGATAGCTAACCCTAAAATAGTGTTACCATAATTCACTTCATTTGTGTCCCTTAATTACAGAATCACAGAATCTTTGGGTTGGAAGGGACCTTTAAAGGTCATCTAGTCCAACCCCCCTGCAGTGAGCACTTGGCCTTGTTGAAACTCATGAATTTCACACAGGCCCATTCCTCAAGCTTGTCCAGGTCCCTCTGGATGGCATCCTGTCCCTCAGGTGTGTCAACCGCACCACTCAGCTTGGTGTCATCTGCAAACTTGCTGAGGGTGCACTCGATCCCACTGTCTATGGCAGTGATGAAGGTATTAAACAGTACTGATCCCATTACGGACCCCTGAGGGACACCGCTCATCACCAATCTCCATCTGGACATTGAGCCATTGACCACTACCGTCTGGATGGATCCAAGCAATTCCTCATCCACTGAACATTCCACCCATCAAATCCGTATCTCACCAATTTAGAGAGAAGGATCTTGTGGGGGACCATGTCAAAGGCCTTACAGAAGTCTAGGTAGATGACATCGGTAGCTCTTCCCTTGTCTGCTGATGTGGTCACTCCATCATAGAAGGCCACTAGGTTGATCTAGCAGGACTTGCCCTTGGTGAAGCCATGCTGACTGTGTCGAATCACTTCCCTGTCCTCCATGTGCCTTAGCATAGCTTCCAGGAGGATCTGTTCCATGATCTGCCCAGGCACAGAGGTGAGGCTGACGGGTCGGTAGTTCCCAGGGTCCTCCTTGCTACCCTTTTTAAAAATGAGTGCAATGTTACTCTTTTTCTAGTCTCTAGGGATTTTACCCGATTGCCAGGACTTTTCAAATATCATGGAGAATGGCTTGGCAAGTACATCAGCCAGTTCCCTCAGGAGTCTGGGGTGTATCTCATCAGGTCCCACAGACTTGTGCATGTTCAGGTTCCTGTGGCGGTCTTGAATCTGATCTTCATGTACAGTGGGAGGAACTTTGCTTCTCCAGTCCCCATCTTGCAGGCTGTTCCCTGAAGAGGTGTGGGAAGAGACACTGCCAGTGAACTGAGGCAAAATCGTCATTGAGTACCTCAGCCTTCTCCTCATCCGTTGTTACCAGTTTGACAGTCTTGCTCATCAAGGGGGGTACGCTTTCTTTGACCTTCCTTTTCTGGCTGACGTACTTATAGAAGCCCTTATTATTCATTGTGTCCGTTGCCAAGTTCAACTCCAGCCATGCCTTGGCCCTCCTGACCTCATCCCTACACAACCAGGCAGTGTCCCTGTACTCTTCCCAGGATACCTGTCCCTGCTTCCACTGCCTGTGCATTTCCTTCTTGCCCTTTCGTTTGCCCATCAGGTCTCCACTCAGCCATGATGTTATGTTTGCTGAAAGTATGAAAGTATAAGTGACTGAGAAGAGATTCTACTTTTTAAATTCTCAAACTTTAGAAAGTATTTTCCAGTATCATAATTGGTCTTGCCATCGCCTTTCTCTCTCATCTAGTCAGCAGTATGGAGTAGCTGTTACGCTTGCATGATATAAAACTAGGAAAACAATTCACAATGTTGTGTTTTGAGTTTAATGTATATAAATAGGTGTCATTGTGTATGTGCTGTTGAGTAAATTACATTTCAAAGTTTGTACGAGTTTTAGAACCCTTTCAAAGTAAGAGGTTGTATGCTACCTCTGTAACAACAGAATTTGCGTGGTTAGTAGGAACCATAAGTAGGAAATTAATTGCAGTACTAAAACAAGTGTCTTATGCAAGTTCTTATCTAGTGATTCAGTATGACCATCAGGAAGTAATTGGCCTGATAATTGATCTGTCTAATAAACTCATTAAAACCAAAACTTTTTTTAATAGTATGAATGGAAACAGTTGCTGGAATCTTTGCACCATTAACACCACACTTAAGAGCATGACTTCTGAATATGAGCTACTTGTACTTTCACTTTGCATCCTCAATTTTGAATTTTATTTCCTGGAAGACAGTTCTTAACACAACTACAGTGATTTTTTTTTTTTTTTTTTTTTGCCTCTTCCAGCTGAGTAAATTATTTTGCAATTAATTCCTTAGTCTGCAATTTAGGAAATTCAGATTAATTTTTTTCAACATTTTCCTTAACTAAAAACTTTCAAGTTCCTTATTCCACAGGAAATTCACATTTCGCTGTCTGCACTAGTAACTGCTAACCTGACAGATAGAGAACTTGCTGTTACTTTCCCATCAATATTCTTCAGTTTTTAAACAGGAAGTACAAAGTATAAAAACACACTTTATTGTAAACTAAATTTGTTATAGACCAACTGAAACATTTATGAAATGTATATAATTAAAACAGTGTAACTGAAAAGTATGTGTGTGTATATGTTTGAATTAGCTTGAATAGTTTTCCTTACATTTCATATAATGAGTATAAAAAAGAAATGGCCTATGTTACATACAATCATTGAATATACACTGATAGTGTCAGTTTTGGTTCAAGTGTTGACATGACTGGGATTTCTTTTTTTTTTAAACCTCATTCTGTTGTAATGGTCACAGCTTGCTACAGAGTCTCTCTGAATTTCTCATTCCTTTCAGTTGAAGATACAAGGCTAACTTAAATGGGAAGTCTCTCTAATAATTAATGACTTTAAAATAGCATGTTTAAATTATAGTTTGATAATCAATGCTCTGAATATTAATTTTTTGTAACACTTCTTTCAGGCTATAGTATAATTTAATTCTGGAATGAACCCTCAAAATTAAGTTTCTGAAGACAAAATGTAGCGAGCAGATGTTGCACACTGTGAATGCTGCAGACGGTATTGGTTTACGGGCTTAACTTCTCATAATCCCATTAAATTGAGGTTCACACAGTGAGAGATTTAAACTACAAATGAGATTACTGAGCTCAAAGTTATCCTAGTGAAAGAAGTATGATTGAAAATCATCAATCATTTAAAGATAATGGTTGTACTGCCCTGTGTAATGATAATGAAATATAAAAAGGTGCCTACTGTTTTACTTCCATTGAATAGTTGGTGTTCTAATTCTTTCCAATTCTTAATACATTCTAGTTCTCTATATAATTCAACATAAATAAACTGTTGATCACAGTTCTGCACATGAAGTCAGTGTCGAAGTGTAATAGTACTACCTCCAAGAATTCAGAATTACTCTAGTTACTGGTCAACATGGCACTTACTTGAAAACATTTCTTTTTAAGTGTTACTGATTGTTTTGTTATTTTTAACAGTTTAAACATCCATAATAGCTCATATCTTCTTCCTCTGTGTGTGTACATGTCTGGTATGTGATCGTTCCAGCTGAAAACATTTCTGAATCTCTATGTAAGTTTAGGCTTTGACTGTTTACCATTTAGAAAAATGGAATTTTCACTTTTCATTTCTTCATTGAGTTTTCATTTAGTTCTTAGCCCGTGTTTCTCCATTTTCCAGCTCTCTTTTTTTCCCTGCATTTCCTTTGCACTTTCAGTGTTTCTTATTCAGCTCCCTTCTTACCTGCTTCTGCTGACTGACTTCTTGTGCTCAATCTGTGTATCACTTCTTGTCTGCTTTAGCCTGACTATCTTCTGTCTTCTAATTTTAGTGAACAGTGGGGCCTTTTGTATCGAGGGCAGCATAACTTTACACAAGTGTGAGATCAGTTGAAATAGTATGTATCTAGCGAGAAAAAATAAGAGGAGATTTCATTTTGGTTTGAATTACCAAGTTTTACTTCCTTAAAATTCAGAACTTGAAATATTTCAAGAGCTGGAAACAATATTGTTGATTTAAATGGAAGCAGGATTGGGCTTGGATTTCACATGTGTACACACGTACATTTTCTAATTTTATGGAAAATGTCACCTTAATGTTAAAATTTTTTTATTTACAGGAAATATTGCATAGTGAAAGTAACATATTCTAAGAAAAACATTTAGCTACAAACCTGTTGAATAAATACGTATGTTTTTCTTTCTAGGCTTCTTAATCATTCAGTTTCAGTAAGCACAAGGAACAGGCCGAAGCAGCCAATGGAATCTGAAAAATGGTATTAAAAGTATCACAGTTTTCAATATTAATTATATATAATGTTAAATATTAATTTATTTTTATATTTATTTTGTGTTGCTGCTGCCATCTTCTGTCATACTGTTTTTAGCTCAAGATGCTACACAATAATCTGTTCTTGAACGTTTTTCTTTCAGATAAAAAAAAAAAAATTCTGTTCTTTTGAGCCCTTAGGAAAGTTGATGTCATCCAGAAACTAATTGGTGTGTCTGATTATGGCAGGAATTCATGTGCCTAAAGACAGGCATTCAGTGATGTTTTAGACACCCAGTTCCAGTCCAGAAGGTTATGTCTCCCATAGGTAACAGTCCTGTGCAGATGTGTTAGATCCTGTGTTACATAAAATGGCACAGTATCTGTGCTTAGGCATCTAAATTTTCCTCCCTGGCAGTCCTTTTGTGCTCTTAAGAGCTGTTGGAAAAGCGTTGCTGGGAGTTCAGCCTGCAAAACCTTCACTATTTGTGGAAGATGTGTCAATGAGGAATCCATTGTCTTCAGGAGCTGTACGCTTGTGCTCTTTCTTTGAATTTAAAACAACAACAACAAAAACAAACCAGCAAAACCCAAAACCCACAAACCAACACCAAACAAAAATACCCAGAGCCTTGTCTTTAGGAAATTGGGAAATCACAGCTTCCCATTTCTGATACATGGGTGAGAGAGAACTTAGCAAGTTTTCAGCCCTCCCACCCTTAAGGAATCCTAGATCAGTCCTTTTAATCAGTTTGGTCAACAAATAGTCTGTTTTAATTTTTAAGCTAAAGAGGGACCGCTTACTGGCAGCCTCCTAACAAGAACTCCATTTGAACAGTGGCTTTTGTGATTTTTGTCAGCCCCGTAGTCTTCTAAAATTTATATCTACAAAAGAACATGTATCTGCTTGTGTCCAGACCCTAGTTTTGCTGTGAATCTTGGAGACAAAAGCCACTACTGATGGCTAAAGCAGCAGCAATGAGACAAAAAAGACAAAAGCAATATGGAGAGCACTGGGGGTGGTAACAGCGCTCTGCTATTCAGGTAGGCGTGAGGAAAGCATTTCCTCGAACACACTGTGTATATTTCAATCTGATACATCCTATTTTGGCTATTTTCTCTCTCATTGGTATCTGCAGTTTTAAGGAGCTAGTTGTGCACAGGTCCTGCGGTTACATGAACCATGCTGGAACTATTACTCGTTTGTATTTGGGACTTTCCAGTCCTTGGTTGCTTAACATACAGTTTCTGTTCTTTGGGATGCTGTCACCCAGCATGTCACCCAGCTGTAGTGTAAAGCTATGTTAGGCCTTCATATAGGGTAATCAAGGAAAGGTTACCTTTCCCTTTTTCGTTAATGAAACAGAAATGGTTCTGAGACTTAAAAGAAAAAACCCTACCCCTTCACCCCCTTAATGTTGAGGGTGTAGATAAGATAAGGTAAGATATTGCACAAGATAAGGCAGATATTGCAGACTATTTGTCGTTTTATTGCACTGATACATAGGAACCCAAATCACACACTGCATAAGGAACATACAAAGAGAGTAGTAGAAAGACTGTCATATCCCTAAATAATTTACACTTACAGAACATGTCATAGTTAATGGATACATATGTATCAACAGCAAAACTCAATTATTTATTGCAGCAGTTCCTGCAATTCCCAACTGGATTGCTTGTCAAGCTATTGAGCATGATTCAGATGCCTAACAGCTTTAAAAAGTAGCATTACTGGTTTGAGGCAAACAGAAAGGAAGGAAAAGGAATATAAAGTATCAGAAGCTAAGTGCCTAGTTATTTTCCCTTTAGGATTTATTATAATTGCTCATGGTGTTACGTCCTTCTTGCATTCAATCCCCAGCTGTTAGCCTTTTGGTATGCTGCACAGCTTCTTCAGCCAGCTGTCAGAATGTGAATGAAATGGTTGCTGGTAAGACGATAGAAGTGGATTTCACAGAAAGATTTAGAAAGAAAAATTTGAAGTGACACCAAATCTAAACATTTTTATTTTCCTGAGAAAATTTCCTTTTATTTTCCTTTTCTCAGACCTTCCATGTTCCAGAGTGATTTTTTCAGATTTTGCAGTTTCACTGTCCCATCTTAAAATGTTTTTCCCTTCCCTACTAGTATAAGCTTCTACTTTACTGTATAGAGCTAACAGTGAAATGAAGCATGTGAGTCTTCCCAGAGTTTAAGAATAGACATTTTGTCATCTTGGAACAAAATATTTCATCAGTTGCTTTGAGAAACAAAACAGTGAAGGTGCATTAGTAATCTCTAAGGATCAACACGCTTCAAAAAAAAGCTTTATCTGAATGAAGTACTGTAGTGTGCAAGACCTATTGTCAGCATATGGTAAAGGAGAGTTGAATATGATTTGAGATTTTAGTCAAATGGGAGAACTTTTTAGCCACATTGTGACATCCTTATACAGGTAGCCAAAAAATACTGTACTGTTGCAGGGAAGCTGCTTGGTATAGTGTTCACTAATTTTGATACTTTAAAGTAACTTGGTGCTTAAAGCACACAAAACAGTAGTGAATTTATGCTTCTCATCTTAATTTTTAGTGTCTCAACAGACGAAGTGAGTTCCCCAGTGTCCCCATACAGCTGGCAGGTAAATAGTCAAATGTAAATGTGGTGGCTTCATATTTGGGTGATTTGTTTTGGTTTTTGGTTTTGTTTTTCTGTCAGAAAACTTCTGTATGTTCGTATGGTTTCTTACTTAATGGGCCTTCCATGCCCCATACCTCACTGAGAAGCTTATGTGATATGATAAAATTGCAGTGAAACTATTGAGAGTACCTTTTTATTATCTTAGATTTTAGTCCATCAGGTATTTATAATTATGTTAAATGACCTGATACTCTAATATGAAGAAGCAGTTGGAGATGTAGTTTTAGCCTTATTATGAAATGGTCCCTTCACATTGTCTGCTTTCAGTTTTCATAACGTACGTGTATTCGTTGTTACTTTAAGAACAGATCTACTTTAGCTGTCTCTTCAGAGTACGTTGTATAATACAATACTCTGAAAGAGAGATTTCTTTTACAGCTAGTTGATGTGTATAATCTTTTCGATAGGAACAGCAGACAAATACTTCAATTGTCTTGTAGCCATCCTTTTCCTGTGCAATGACTATTCACATTGAGAAATTAGACGTGCTGGTGGCTAACCACATTTCTACCTGGTCTTTTGAAGTTATTTATGGCAGCCTTTAGATGGCTTCCTAACATACCTGCAAAACTTACGCTCAATGCAGAAAAGGGTGTTAATTTCTTAAGAATTATTTCATAGATTCTTTTTCTTCTGTGAAATATGCTTTAGGATTTGAAAGGAAATAGGTGCTTTTTACCAGAATCTGACTGCTAACACTTTCACGTCATAAAGCTAGACTATGAGAGAGGCAAACAATTCATAATTGTAGTTCACAATAATTTGTGCTAATGCACGTGAGGTATATTTACCTTTTACATAAAAATATTTCTAAACCTTATAGCCACTGGAAAACCAGAAAGATTCAATGAATGAGCAGCATTGGCCAGAAACACAGCCAGTGATTTGGCAGAATGAAGAAAGAAGGAGAAGTAAACAAATTAGAAAAGAGTATTTCAAGGTAATGGGGGGGTGTGTGTGTGACTTTTTTCTTTTAATGGGAGTAGAAGAAACCATATAACTAAGTAAAGGTAAGAAATCCTCAAAGGTGGTCATGCTTTTAATTTTGCACATAACCTGTAATTTTTTTATTGGGCTCTTTTGAGTTAAATCATGTATATATATGTAATTAGGGTAATGTGAGAGTGCAGGAAAATCAGGAGGAACCAAAGATTTTGTTTATCTTTAAATAAAAGTAATTTACAATTGTCTTCTAGTAAAGCCAGAAACCAATCTTTGGTCATTGGTCCTTCCCCATCCAGTTTGAGGGATTTTTTTTTTTTTCTTTAGTGCAAGGAAAATATGCATTACCTTTTTGTGCAGCATGGTTATAAGAATGTTTTATGTATTTTGGTTCTCTCTGTATTAGTTTGCATTTTAAAGAGGAAATTTTCTCTTGCTTAGCTTTCTGTAGTGTGTACCATTGGTCACCAGATGTCAGTGTCTGCTTATTGCAAAACAGATACAAAGTTATAGCAGCATTAGATGAAATTTGTTTTGGGGTATAGTAGAGAAATAGGAGAATTCTGACCAGTGCTAGGTTGAGTTAAAATTAAATTTGTCACTTAGGAAATTAGTTTCTTGGGTCTTTGCCATCAAACATCTTCACTAAATGCTAGGGAACTTCAAAGAAATTAAATTCCAGGAAGAACAGAGCATGCCATACAGCTCAGATACATTCTTCTGACTATAGAAGTTAGTAATTTTTTTTTCCTGCAGAATTTATGGTGCTGTATCCTAACTTGAATTCTACTGACCTTTTTCTGGGGTTTTCATCCCTAAATTAATTTTGCCCAGCAGCCTTTGAGGGGAAAGGGAGAAACTTCTAAGTAAAACAGAATTCAGTCATTTGACTCATTAAACAGCTGTGCTGTCAATATGTAAGACCTGCATTAGTGATTCCTTGTAACTTTAAAGGATGTCTTTAAATGCTGATACAGATTTCAGTTTTGAGCTCTGTGATGGCGCATAACATACAGCTATAGACATGTCTCAAAGTGAATTAAGCAGGCTATAGCAGTAACAAAAAATACTGTGTCATTGATAGTTTAATTTGCAAGAACAAGGCAATAAACAAGTGAAACGATGTCTGTCTTCCATTGCAAACTTGAGGGGGAAAAAAAAACGAGGTACCACTGCTGTTCTGAGAAACTAGTGAAAATACAATTCATACTGTGTCCATGTTTTCTTGAAAAAAATGCTCCCTGAATAATCACAGCTGTACTGCCAAACATTAATATCTTCAGAGTACACACCAAATGACTGCAATGGGCATCATTAAAACAGGGAAAATTTACTTGGATCAGCGTCCAGAAGTATTTATAGAGAGTTTTTATTATACATACTATATATTTTTATTGTACAATTGTACTGTGCAACAGAAGGGTAGCGAAATGCCCATGAGAATCAAAGTCCCTTCCTTATGGTATTGCACTGAAGTCTCGCTGGAACCTGAAATCATTGTTGCCTTAAATATGTAAAAGGAATCTTACCACTGAAGACAATTCTATCAACCAAAATGCCTCCCCCCCCCCCCCCCCCGCCGCAACAGTTTGTAGTTGTTTTGGATCCTAGCTATATCCAGGCTGAAATTCTTGTTAACATATCCACAATGGAAAAGAGTTACTACATGCTAGCTTTGATATGGTTACTTATGGTGGTAAAATGTGAACACACAATTGGCCAAAGGCGTGTGTGAACAAAAGTCATCGGCACAGGTCTGCAGGGCATAGAAGATCAGGCTTTGTTTGCCTTATCAAGTTCCAAAGTAATATATTCCCTTGCACTGCAAACATACAGGATATAAACCGAAGAAGAGAAATATTCAGTCATGGATCTATGTAATAGGTCTCTGTCCGACCCCAGAACAACCTATACTCTGTGCATAGTTAAAAAAAAAAACACACACCCCCCCAAAAACAACCAACAACAAACCACAACCAAAAGAAGCAAACAAAAATACACACATACCCAAAACCCCTCAAAACAAACAAAAAACCCCAAACCACCAAAAAACTAAAACAATAAAAGAATGCCATAAACCAACAACTGACAGTTTATTCAATCACTCTTCAAAACACGTGTTTAATTTGCACAGAAAATGAACGGCGGTAGGATAGCTAGCAAAGGCTATGTTTGTCCTAGACTTTGATTTTCAAGAGAGATGCTGTTCACCATTGTTGTTGGCATTGTTCAGCATGTAGTTCAAAAGCTATTGAAAATTCAACTCGGTAAAACTGTTCAATTTTACAGCCCAACAGTGCTCAGTTATAACTTTGAAGAAGACGAGCATCTTCTATGCATAACTAATAAATACAACGTTCTCTAACAGAGCTATGTAAGTTTGTGTGTTTTTTAATGTTAAAGAACATAGCTGCAAGTCAGGTTTTTCTTCCTTTTTAAGAAATTCTTCTAACTAAAACCTGTATGTATCCTGAAAAGTCAGGTCTTTGAAGGAGGACCATCCTTCCATTTCCCAAATTAGTCTCTTAATTTAGCCAGTGTCATGTATTATACTGTAAGAATGGGTAGGCTGGCCATATACACACAATGTACTTACCTGTGTTTTGTAGTGATGGATCTTTTTAAAACAACAGCTGCATGTTGTTTTCTGGGGTTATTTTGTACACTTGCTCTGCAGACAATGAAATCTACTTCTTTTCTTAAATACCACTTTTGTAAATTGCTTCCTTCAATCCCTCCTTCATTTCCTACACTTCTGGGATAATCAGGAAGTGGGACAGTGATGAAGGCAGTGCGCAACAAGTCACAGAACTGGAAAAAGCGCTGGTCTTAAATAGATAAAAGGATGTGATCAGGCTTTGAGGTTGTAAAGGAAATACTGATTTTTTTTTTTAATTTAAGTTTTTACAATGTCAAGTCAATCTCTCAAAGTGTAAGCAATCTTAACGTTACATAACAAAACATTGTAAAAGTAACTTTCATGGGTTGCGTAGTTTTTTCTAACAAATAATGGTTGAGTAGCAGTTGTTAAGGTCTTTTCACCTGCATCAACTGTCATAGGCAGTCAGTTTACATTGTAAAAGTATTTAGTTTTAAAATGCTCTTATCCTCTCATCAGCATAACAAAAACGTTGACTAGCTTAGGAACTAGATGTTCCTTTTCTGTTTTGTGTCTTTTTTGCTCCTTTAATTCTGTAACATGTTTTTTTTTTCTTCTCAGCAGCATCACCAGTAATAAGTAACATCTGAGTTATATCAAGCCATTTAGTTCAAATGAAAACCATAGTTCCATTTTAAAGTAATAATTGTGTGTGTTTTGCAGTATAAGTCTTCCAGAAAGAGTTCAAGTGGAAATGAAAATGATGAGGTGAGACATAGTAGTTGTGTAAAATGTAAAAAAACGTTTTATTCATTTGTCTTTTATGAACGCCTACGAGCCACAGTCGCAGAACAGGAGAACATTGGCTAGAGTCCACACAAACAAACTTCACGTTCCAAAGCCATAGCAGAAATAAATACTATACTCCTTTATTTGAAAAAAATGATCAAGATTGTGCCCTGGGGAAGAAAGTAGTACATTTACTTTCTTCGGTAATAGGGAGGTTAATTCACCTATCAAGCAGAGGTAATGTAAAAGTAGTATTTGACATAAACAGTGAACAGTGTTTCCTTGATTTACATGTTTTTAAATTTATTTGCTGCTAGTTTGTCGCATACTTGACAAATCTTGCATGTCTCCATATATTGTATATTTCATAACTTCATGTTTCTTGTTAAATCATAATTTTCATTTTTATAATTTCATCTCTTTGATTTCTTTTTAGCAAGACAGTGATAATACTAATGTGTCCCCACAGTCTCCTGTGTCGTCTGAGGTACAAGTTTGTGGTTCTGTTTTTCATTCAACAAACATTTCTGTGTGTGCATTACTTGTCACCAGGTTTTCCACGCAGATACAAACCTGTTAGTTTCCTTTGAAACTGCATATTAGAATTATTTTATCATAATAAAAATTCAAAAATAGGTAGAAACTAGAGACAGCTATTACAACTTGTTTTACCTTTGCAACTATCCAGTCTCCTGTAGATATCTTCTTTTTGACTGGTGTTTAGAAAGGTGCATTGCTTTGTCTCCATTATCTTTTCTAATGAAAATAGCTAATAAAACAAAAATCAAATTTGCCACATTTTCTAAGTGTCCCCTGTGCACTAGCCATCCAGAAGATTTTTAAGTAAAACTTGTGGTTTAGCATTTTTATGCAATACGGGAACCCAAAGGTACTGACACTTCTTGGAGAGTTTTGTCCTTTAAAGTTCTGGCTCTCGCCTTCGTGGTGCAGCCTTGCAGCTTCATTTGCTGGTTGCTTTCCTTTTTAAGGAACATCCATGTAGTCTCACTGCTGAGCTCTGAATAAAGCATACCAAAAGCTATTAACATTTCCACCTCATGTTAATAAGGAACTTCAGGAAGCAGAATGAGAACATCTCCCAGATACAGTGAAATGAGTTGAAATAAAGATATCTCATGTACATACCAAATTACTGAGTACTCTTTAGATGGTGAAATGAGAAAAATCAGATCTTCATAATTGAAAGTAAATAGTTCTTAAATATTTTGATGCTAAGTGTTGGGAGGATATTTGCGTTTGCTTACAGCTGGCTTACAACTCTTCACAGAATGGTTTGCAGTAGTTTGAAATGGTTTAGAGTAGATTTTATTTAATCTGGTGCTGCTTTTCTTCCTCAGTGAGATAATTTTATCTGCATGTAGTGAGGTTACTTTCATTCCATTTAGTTTATACTGTCCCCTTCAAAAGAGTGTGCTACAGTTAAGCAGAAGAACTCACTTTTCTTAGGCAAGAATAATTTAAACACTATCTTGATGGGAACAACAGTTAATTCTTTTAATGAATGGAAGAAAATTGATTTTATCTCTGTTAACAGGATTATGAAAGGACAGATAGTAACACTCATGGTCCATTTGGTCTCAAACCAAGGTCAGGTAAGCTGCTGTTCTCTAACATAACATCATAGAACAGATGTTTATTTCCTGGACTGGAATGTACAGTAAGGATAGCAGATGCGTGAATTGGAATGAATATGAAGAGACGCCACAGTACAGCCACGCACTTGGTATATTTATCACAAGCATAGTGCTGGGAAAGACATAGACAGCTGCTTTGGCAAACAAATAATTGAAAGTTCCCCAAGTTGCACAGTGATTGTTTTTTTTAATTACATTTTAAAATTTTTTCCCCCACTGATTTATTTTGTGCATATTTAGTCACTGTCAAAGAACAGGGAAACAGCAAGCAGTTGTTCTTGACACCTGATGGCTGATGCAGGAGGGTTTCAAGAGAACTAGATTTTTGTAATTTGTCCTATGAAAGGGTGCTTTCAGCAGAGCTTTGCCAGGAGTTTTATGGCTTAGTGCTTTGTTGCACCCTGACTCTTCCAAGACTCTGCCATACCCTCATAAGTAAGTTGTATTGTCTAAAGCACACTTTCAGTTCTCTGAAATCTAGGTATAAATAATACTTTTTTTGGTTATATTATTATTTTGTTGGCAAGTATCTATGTGAATACTGGAACAGTGTAAAACACAGTTTGGAAAAGCCACTGTGCAATCTTTTTTCCAGTTAATACCACTCTTCTCTGTTTTTAAGGGAACAGTCTTTTGCAAATTCATTAAGGAAGAATCTCAACTCTTTAATTTAATTCAGTGTTTATAGTAGAAAAGCTTGACCTCCTTAACACCAGCCTGTGAACCCCTCAGTAGTAGAGTATGTCTGGCTGAGGTCATGCAAGTGACTTCTTCAGCGCCCCTAAGCTACTTGAGATTTGTAAGTGGTTGTGTGAAACTTCTGTGCCAGAGATAGTTAGGTTAATTGCATGTACCGGGACATGTCTGGCTGTGATAATTTAGAGGCTTCTGAATTATCTACATCCTTGGCTGCAGGAAGGTGCAGATTTGATAGGAGGAAGCAGGCTTGTTAGGACTTTTCAGCCCATCTTTTCTCAGTGCAGTAGTAGGCTTCCTAGGAGCCACTGCCAGCTCACGTCTGCACAACGGCAGCACCCCTTTCACTCAGTTCTAGGACAGTGAATGGCATTTTGTTTCTTAGTTAGAAGCCAAAATCTTTGTAGTTTTAGATGCTTCCATAGATACTGTTGGTAACATGTAATTGTGTTTTTCTGAATACAAACTACATACTGTCATAATGTATTAAGATCAGAGCAGTGATTTCAACAGTGTCTATAAAATTTCTGTTATTTTTGATTGTTAGATCTCTTGCTAAAATCCAACCTATTAGCAACAATATAGGAAGTTCTAAAAGTGTAAGTATTTTTTTTAGCTCAAAAGCATGGGGTAAAATACTTAAAGATACAGTGGTATTGCTACAGAAGAGTGTTTATTTGCCAGTGTTCTATAAAACAGAATTGTTATTTGGAAGGCTTTCTGACCATGAAAAATTAGTAAAGTGAATGTAGTTGTTTAACAGACCTCCTTTGTAAAGGAACCTTTAGATGAGACATTCCATATTTTTCAGTTAATTTTTTAAATGTGCATATGCAGAGACAGTGATTGCTTAACTAACACATGTGCGTGTGTGTAGGTATTTGTTTTAAGTTTTTCATTTTAAGTTAACGTCAGAGAGTTCTGTCCCTTTTTTAGTCTTCATAAAGACTTTGTACTTAATTAAAACACAATGAAAATACTTTCAAAGCTAGATTGCAAGATATGCTTGGAAAAGTGCAAATGAAGTATATATCTCAAACAGATATTTGAATATTGAAGTAAACTCTGTCTCCATATTTTCTGGTTATCCATTTGCACTTTAAGTAAGATGATCTGTGTATTTTATTTGAAAGATAAGTTTCACAGACAGCATCTTTTACATCAGGATACTTAAACATATTCTGAAAAGTTCTGCAGCTTTTTTCCCATTTTTTAATATTTGTGGTAAATTTTTAGTCTGGGTGTTTTTTTTAGTCTGAATTCTGAAAACTAACTTCACTAATGTTTAATAGCTTTCAGCCGTGCATCTCGCCAGGACTATGGTGCAGTGGATCCTGGATTTACAATGAGGAGGAAAATGGAGCATTTAAGGGAAGAAAGGGAACAAATAAGACAGCTTCGCAATGTATGTACCATTATTTACTATATGGGTGCAGTGCATTTACATTGCTGTGTACCACAGTTTAAACCTAAAGGCCTGCAGATCATTACCGTTGTACAGGGGCATCACTGCAGTGATACTTCCCCCTGAGGAATTTCATGTAACCAGCTACACTGGTGCAATTTTTGGTCCAACCAAAATACCAACCAGGGATCAAATGTTTTTTAGCTGAAAACAAAGTAAAATGAAAAATGAAATTATTTTTTTTAGATTTCTGAGGTTTTAGGTTTTCCTGGGGAGACAATAAGCCTACTTGTGTTTGCTGCTATTTAACCTGAGATTTGAGGAAAGATGGTCACAGTCTTCTGAACAGCCAAATGCTTTTTGAGTGTAGAAAGTTGCTAGAAATTATACAATAAAGAATGGGATCTAAATTTCAGACTTGCAGTAGGTTGTTTTCTGTATAGTTCTACTCTCAAGATATTTCGCAGTTAACTATAGTTAACTGGAAGTCATAGCAGCTCTGCTTTCCAGGGCAGTACTGATTTGGGGTGTGACTTCTATGAAGGCTGTTTCTGTCTTGTCGGGTTCACTTCCTGAGCAGTGAAGGCTTGTTGCTGGGGTGGGAAAAAACAGTCCCTGCTTCCCTTCTCTGTTTTGTAACACAAGTGTGGGCACTATTTAACCGTCATCTGCACAAGTGAAATTTCCATGCCCAAAGTGGTTGTGTTCCCTTCTTTTCTTCCCTCCATCTCCTAGTAAAATTGTGTATGATTTCAACCCACAAATTCTGCACACTAACAGCTAATGAGGTACTTGGCATAACATTTCTGTCCTTAAATTCTAAGCTTTCCCATTATGTGCAGAGAGTTCATCATATGGCTCTGAGAGCTACGTATCATGGTAATTGTTGGCTGAATGTCTCTCTCAATGTTTGTAGCTGTGTCACTGAAAAAAAAAAAGCAAAGGGAATGTAAGGTTAATGATAAAGAGAAGAGGATATTTGTACTCAGTAAAGTGTGAGTTGACTCCATTTACTTCAATTTAGTATTAAAACGTCCCTTTTAAACTCAATGCTTTAAAATTAAAAATTAGCTAATGTTGAAAGTAACTTACTTACGGACTCTTTAATAGAATCTTGAATCAAGGTTAAAAGTAATTTTGCCAGACGACATTGGAGCAGCACTGATGGATGGAGTAGTTCTTTGCCATTTAGCCAATCACATAAGGCCACGTTCTGTTGCCAGCATTCATGTACCATCGCCAGCAGTGGTAAGTCATTTATCTCACTTCTGTTGCATCTGACATAAAAACAAACTTTTAAAGTTCAATATTAAACATCATGAGTCATATTTACCATATTAATTGGCTACATGCCTTTTTCTGCAAAGAAGCATTAAACAAGGCTCAGAAGTTTAGTTTAAGGGCTACTTTCATATACTGAGTCTTCATAGAATTTGTTTTGTGCTTTAGCAACTGTTACAACTTGCATCAGAAATACACAGTCCTTCATGAATGTATGCTGAAGATCTAACATTCTGTCTTTACAGCCTAAACTCAGTATGGCAAAGTGCCGAAGAAATGTTGAAAACTTTCTTGATGCTTGCAAAAAATTGGGCGTTCCACAGGTATACTGTTTGCTTTATTGACTTATTAACAACTACAGAAAATGTCAGCAAATGCTGAAGCTGATTGGGGGGAGGGACGGACGACTGATTTAAATTCAGGGGCAATAGTAATTATCATGCTGACCAGGGAACATGAAAACACAAAAAGAAGTCCCATTTCCGGCCTGTGGCATGAACTTGAGGAAGCTACTTTATGGGTTTCTAGTCGGTTCCTTATAGTAAAAATAATACTGACCTCCTTGTAAAATATATTGCCATCTAAACAAAAGAACTGATGTGAGAGGATGATGTTGTAATACTTAAAAGTCTTGAGTTTAGCAACTCACTGTGGCATGAATTTCAGCATTTGCCTAGGAAAAATCCTGCAATTACAGAAATATGTAGCCTAATCTGTCTTTTTTAGCATGGCCGTAGTTGTAGCCCATTATTCATGCTTCTGTTGCCCAAGTTCATCCTCTTACTTCCCTGTATGTGGGCGGGGGGAAACAACCACGAAGATCAAATCATTTCCTGTATATTACAAGAGACAAAAAAACTCCCTTGACCCTCTTTAGTGGAACAAGAACGTTAGTTCATGGATTTAGAAGCCTGGGTTACTGTTCCGCCACAGCTTCTGTCTAGCGCGGAGCCATAGGCCATTCAGAAGTTCGAGATGCTAAGATTTACCTCCTGAATTACATGTAACCAGCTAGCAGTTGGGAAAATTGTCCAGCTTGTGCTGAATTTTGAAACTGAAAGATGACTTTCTTGGAGAATGGCTCATTACCGAGGACCCAGTCTATCAGCACTTCTGAGTGTTCCCAGGGGAAAAATTGGTAATAAGTCTACAAAACAAGGGAAGGGGAAGTAGACCACTGAGCCAGCAGCCTGTTTTTCTTGCTTGTTTCTTTTCAGAAGCAGGTCTTGGCTTTATGAAATTGTCAGCCTTTTATGTATCTTCTGATGTTGTCATCAGATGTTGTTCTGATGACATTCTGATGTTGTTCAACACTTTAAACAGATCTTGGGTATAATTAGCTTCAGACCATTCTGTTACTGTAGAGAACCGTATGTGACATTTAGGGCCAAAGACATTTTCTATGCAAGTGTCATATAGTGATGTATGTGCGATTTCAGAGAGAATGTGTTTGTTACTCACCTTGGGGGAAGAAAAAAGAATGAAACTTGATACACGTACCGCTTTACTTTGCAGGAGAGACTTTGCTTGCCTCATCACATTCTGGAGGAAAGGGGTCTGGTGAAGGTTGGCCTCACAGTTCAAGCTCTGCTTGAATTGCCAACTTTGAAAGTATCTCAGCTTTCTTCCATGTGACATGACTTCTTGGAAGCTAGACAACTTACCATTCGATCTGCTGATTTGGATCGCTCCAAGGCAGTTCAGCTTCCTACATGGGAACATCCAAGCCATCAAAAACTAGTATCTGTCCAGATGCTGTAGAGAGCCTTACTTCAGAGTTGTACATGAAAACCTTGGAGTCAGCTGCCAGTTAAGAGAACAAAATTATTCCTTTTTTCTTTTGTAATTGTATGCACGAAGAGATTGTGGTAGCATCAGGTTCTCTTTCCAGTTAATTTAAGTTAAAAGCTGCCATTTAACATCTCTATGTTACAGTTAAATGCTGGATTTCTTTTCCTACATTGAAAATATTGTTTGAATTATTTTCAAAGTACAAAGCACACACACCACCCCCCCTTTAAACTTTCAAGTCAATCATTTGATTTAAAGGTAAGACAAAAATGTAGCGATGGTATGATGGTAAAAATGTGAGCGACTGATCACTTGTAATCCACTTTCACTCTCTCAGAAAGCTTAATATTTGTGTTCTTTATTTTTTTGCACTCCTGATTGTAACTTACACACTTCTAACATTGCCAGTATTTAGTCTGAGTGTATGGTGATTACACAAAACAGTATACAATGGGAAAAGGACACATTTTATTGAGTTTTTTCCAGTCTTCTAGGTTGGTGCCAAATATTTTTTTCAGTTGTACTGTAGATTGTTTACATGTGAAGTGCCTGTGTAATTGATAACTCTTAATAGTCTTAAACATTTTTGAAATTTCTTTGTTTAAAATAGATAAAATGGAAATTTTTAAATATTTTAATAGTTTTTTGTAAAATCAGTACGTGAAGGTTTAAGTAATACTTCACATCTTTGATGTTGGGTGTTTTAAGTTTGTTGCACAATTTAATTGGTTATTTTGTTGTTTAATAATTAGAAAATACTGTAAATACTTTTTATTTATGATATTTAATTTGATAATACCTGATCACTTTTCGTTTAATGTATTGTTGGACAAAAAAAAAAAAATTATCTACTTCTCTTTGTTTGGGACAAACAAATATACACGGTAAGACATGAGGACTAGTGATGCATACAGAGTAATTTAGGACATTTTGATAAAACTGCCAAAATCTCAGGTTTATGCTGTGACTTTCAGGATTTTGTGTAATATTGCTCCTGATCTCATATTACACTTTTACAACAGGTGTATCCATAATTTAGTTGAGAAATACCAGTGTTTATCTTTTCAGTGTTTACAGGATTTACTCTGTAATTTACACAAGTGTGGCATAGCACACAAATCAGTCTGTACAAATGTCACTGTGCTGAGACATTAGACTTTTCTGGATAAATGTGAAAAAGAAAAATTTCCACTGTGGTGGTTTTTTGAAACTTCTGAGTTTATGTATCAGTTGCACAAATTCTCGGTGTTTTGAGAACATTCTGAAACCATACACAGTTGAGTTCTCCCAACAAGTTGCAAATAATTTCATTATTTTAGTAATAAATCTGTTTGCATTAGTTTGTTCTTCATGAATAGGTAGCTCAATGGAAAGAAAAAAAGTTCTGATTGTCACAGATTTTCTATTTTAGGCTAAGTAAATGTTGATTGAGGGATATGTTTGCCAAGCATGTAACAAGATTTGATTCTGTTCTTTCCAATTGATCAAGACCCCATGTAATGTAATTCGTAAAAGAATGAAGAGGGGTATATTTTATAATCCATTGAAACAAGCAGATTCATGTGTGATGGTTAAAAACCACTATTATTTATATAGTGTTTTCTTAAAATACAGCTAATGGAGAGGCTGGTGTAAAACTTAATTTGCAAAGTCCTCAGATATAAACCTAAGATATAAATCTTAGGTTACATAAATACTTGTTTAAGGAAACTGGATTGCTTTGACCTTTGTAATATGGTATTTCCAGTCTCTCTAATTGTTTTTTAAATCATTCACATAATATTCTTTTTAACAACTTCAGTCTCTATTTTTCATTAAAGGCAGTATCTGAAAAGTCATGCTAAGACTAAAATGAAAAAGTAATATAGTTCATTAAGTAAAAATGCTTGTGTGCTGTATTTGAAGAACACAATCATTCAAAAAGAATAAGTCATTGTCTTGCAATTCCTTGCTAGGTTATTTGACAGCAACAACAAACTTCTACTTCAGTATGTTAGCTGTAGAATTGCTAACTGTAAATTGTCACTTTCAGTTAGCCTTCCTAAATTGATCTACACTGCTATTTCGTTGTCATATTTAAATGTGTTTTCTGATGTTTAACTTTTTCCTGCTAGAACTAAATTTATAAAGTTATATCACAGTGTAGACATTAAGAATTCCCTTGATGTAGCATGCCAGATGCTTACCAGTTATTTTTAAGCTTAGCTTATTTCCTAAGAAACTTGATAACTGGATATGAAATTAATGTACTCATTTTAAACTGTTTCTCTAAAGTTGAAAACTACTAAAACATTTTTTTTTTTTTAGTAGTCTGGATTTCTTCCCCACAAACTTGTTAGAAAGCCTCGCTTTGCCATTCATTGCAAATTATTATGGCCGCCTTCATGTTTATGGGGAAGGATAATCATGATTATTCCAGGGCTTCCTTTTTAGCACTGCAAAGATTAAGGCCTTCAAGCATCCTTAGGAGCAATTGGAAGAAAGGTCCACTGTGCCTGGATGAAACTTTTCTCATCTTTCTTTAGAGGCTTTTACAAATAATAATAATAATCTAAAGCCTCGCTAAAATTGGCTGTTCCCATTGTGATTTTTTTTTTTGAGGAGCACCTGCAAAAAGATGCTAAAAAGTTTGTAACTTCAAGTTTTAATTTTAAAGCAGCCTGTGGAAGTTGTTGCTGTCTTCCCTGTACAAGAATTTGCCTACTATCCCCTTTCTCCCTTTCCATGTGATTCCCAGCATCTTACTTTTGTTTGTTCGCAGACCTAGTGACTTCACGTTGTTCATTACTGCGTGCCCCTTTCCTCCTCCTGCTTTAATTTTCTTTTTTAAGAAATTGCTCCAGTGGCATTGGTGAACTACTGTGATTCCAGAATCCCTGCTCCCTCCCCTCTCCCAGTACGTTTGAGAGATTCTTCTCCTATTTTGTTTAGGATCATTACTTAATACTTGGTACAGCTGATAGGACAGTTAAAAACAGACGCCTGCCCGATTCCTATTGTAGTCACTCAGTTTTTTACTTCGAATGTGAAGGAAAGTCCACATTAAAAGCTTTAGGAAACTGCATTAAGTTTTCCTAATAAATTTAAGAGGTATCCAGCGTACTTTTGTTATTGTGAATGCTATACAAATGCTATACAAAATTACTGCAATAATGCGGTATGAACTGTAAGTTAGAGTGAATCAACATACTGTGACAGGGCTTCTGGCCTCGTGTATTTCCTATTTTTTATGTCATTGGATGCATTATGTCACACATGAATGATCTTTCATTTAAGCAATAATGTCCCAGATATTGTGAGATCTTAAAGCAGTAGCATTAAAATAATAGTTGTAAAGTGTGGCGACATCCCACACAGTATCTCAGAAACACTTCACATCTGTTATATAATGCGGTGCTAGCTGGGGCCCTGCTGGGCGTGCAGCAAACCACCTATACCCATGTGTCTGGAGGCTTTCCAAGTTATAACCAAGAACTAAAATTGTCATAAAATATGGAGGAATACATTTGAACCAAGAAATAACTATGAGATGAGTTGTAAGACTTTGTGGGTAAAATCCTAGCTTCACTGAAGTCAATGCAAGTTTTGGTCTTGACTTCAGTGAAGTTTTCACCTTTCTAATTTATGGAGCATCTGAGCTGCAGACCATAACAAACATGGCTTAAGCTTGTTTGACACCAGCAAAGCTTTAGTGTCAAATTCTTGACTAAAAATAGTGATCTCTTAAGTCAAAGGAAGCTGTAAAATATTAACACTGATTCATTTATTTAATAAAAATTTTCTGGTACGCCACATGCAGTATTAAGATGGTAGGAAAAAGTACATTGAAGCATAGCTTTCATGCTATGGAAAGGTGTGTCACCTCAATAAAATTGCAGGTGAGGTTTACCATCAGTTATTTACTGTAGTAAAAACTTAATTTCAAATATCTTCTCAGATTTTGACATAAACCTGTAGCCAAATTCAAACAAAAAATGAAAAGGCATCTGTTTTTACTAAAACTGGATTTCTATGTGTCTTCTCAGTTTTGAAGAGAAGGACAAAGGTCTGGCATGTTTTCCTTCTGCTGATTTCTTAAATGCGTGTATGAAAGGTAGCTGTTGTATCTAATACAGCTGCAGTCTGCCTGTTTGTATTGGCTTCAGTCTGTATACCAGTGCAGAGATAAAGCACATTAATTCAACTGATTTCAACTGAAAGCAACTTGTGGGAGTCTTTAGCCCTACCTGCAGATAGAAGGTGATCTTGTATTGCTAAATCAAATTTCTCTTTTTTTTTTTCTCACTAAGTCAGGCTACTGTGTGTGTTTCATTCAAGAGGTACATCATATTAAACAGTGCCCTCTACTTGAAAAACAAAAGCAAATAAACAGAACACCAGCCCAACACACACAAAATTGGTGAAATATTTCCTGTTTACAGGTGACTCTTTGGAATTTTAAAAAAAGTCATTTAGACCAGGAATGGGAAAGACGAAGTATAGTTGTCCAAGGAGAGGGGGCTCTTGATTTCTGCATTGGTTCACTTCACAATGAAAAGCCTTTAGACTTAGTAGAGAAAAAAATAGATGTTTTGTAGCTACTTCATGCTGCAGGAGACAGATCCTTAAGTGCATGGGGCTTTCCGTAGAGGTTGCAATAACGAGAAGCTTGGCATTTGTATTTTCCCAGAGACTGTATATTTTGGACAGCTCTATCCCAGTGCTGCAGAAAGCATTGGTCATTGTGCAGAGAATGTTGGCTGTTCAGGCCCGGGGTAGGGTACCTGGCTGGTGCCGTTTGCATCTGGCTTGGTCATGATGGGACTGGCTTGTGTGGTGCAGCTTCTGAAGGAAACACCTCCTTA